GTGATCTTTGTTTCCTGTTTCTTGCTCTTTTCTCCTTTTGCAACCATTTTATCGACAATTGTATTTCTTGCTAGGTGTTTCTTATTTCTTCTAAAGTTTGTTAACTTTTATCTCGGGCAACATAAAACAAAAAATCGGATAAGAAATAAAGAGATAAGATATAAAATAGCAAAAAACAAAGAACAGAAAACAAAAAACACATTGTAGAATAAGCTTAATGGTTGTTCTACAACGTGCTCTGTTTCTTGCTTTTTTTCTCTTTGTGATCATTTTATCAATAATTATATTTCTTGATGTGTTTTCTCTTTCTTCTGAAGTTTGTTAACGTTTATCTCGAGCAACAGAAAACGAAAAACGGGATAAGAAGCAAAAAGACAAGATACAATAAATAGCGAAGAGCAAGAAACAAAAAATAAAAAGCACATTGTAGAATAGGCTTAATAGTTATAAAAAAACATGTAAAACAAAATAGCGATCGACATCAAACGCAACATTACAAAAGCATAATTTCTTCTTGGATTTTTTTAAAAGATTTTCATTTACATATAAAGTATTATACTAGTTTTCCATCGAATCGGTGCATATCGTGTCGAATCATTTTTCCTATACAATTGTTGAATTAAAACTTTTAGAAGTACGTATAATTTCAATACATATAAAAATATATTTGATCTAACATGTTTATTAATAATTGCACTTATTTCAGAAAAAAATTGTGAAAAAAAGGAAAAGCAAGTTTCGTTCATAGGATCTTCAACATTCTGATCTCGCATCTTATGCGCGAGACCACGCAGAGTTCTTGATCACGTTTATGAACGCAGTATATAAAGTACACAATCATAAACAATTAATATCTTGTAAACTACTGCATTTTAAAGTTAATCTTGCTATATTATAAATCGAATTCGCTTTAAGATGCATTTAATTGTTATTATAATTATTGAAATGATTATTTACAGAAACGATACGAAAATATCCAATAGTTGATGTAATCATGAGACAGGCCTCATCAGCTTACACTTTTAGAAATTCTCAACTAACTATCCCAAAAGGCCAAATAGTTAATATACCTGTTCATAGCATTCATTTCGATCCAGATATATATCCCAAACCTGAAACTTATGATCCTGAGAGATTCATCGGTGAAGCAGCTCGATTCAGACAATCAATGCATTACATACCTTTCGGATATGGCCCAAGAAATTGTCTTGGTACGTAATAAAAAGCAATAATTTCATTAACATTAAATTAATAACATAATTATATGATGAAATTGAAGATGTTATTATTTTGTTAGATAAATATACTAAAACTCCATCAGCGAATATATTACCTTAACCTTGAAACATACATAACGAAATTTCAATAGTTGCTTTTCATTTAGATACAAGAGAAATTGAGTCTGAGGCTCAGTATTTCACACTCAGATTAATGATGTCACTACTTGCTTACTTTGGTAAAAAGTTATCACATGACAGTACAGGTTCATAACTTTTAAAATGAATTTACGAGACTAAAGTATATAGTCTAAAGTATCTCGATTTTGTCGATTGTAGGTAAAAACATTGCAGATTATATAGGTAAAAATTCAGTCTTACTTGTCAGAAGACAAAAGAAACGCGCATTCAATTGAATTATGACGTCACAAGTGAGAATGATCTGAGAATCGATGTAAATGAAAAGCAATTAATATTTCCATAAAAGTTTTATCTATTGCCGATAATTCTTGAGTTTCTAATTATTATTGATTACAATAGTTACATTTACATGTTTCTCTAATCCTTTAAGCCTATTCTACAATGTGTTTCTACTTTGTTTCCTGTTTCTTGCTTTTTACTTTTTGCTTTTTTCTTTTTTGCAATCGTTTTATCGACAATGTATTTCTTGCTACATATTTCTTGTTTCTTTCGAAGTTCGTTAACATTTATCTTGGGCGACATAATACAAAAAACCGGATAAGAAGCAAAAAGGCAAGATGTAAAAAATGGTAAAAAGCAAGGAAATAAAAAGCACATTGAATAACCATTACTATTGTTTTTTTCAAATTAATTTGATACAGTAAAATTAAACCACTTTTCTTAAAGACTAACTTTATTTTAATTTTTATTTTAATAAATGCATATAAAAATAAATAAAACAATATTCTTTGCTAAAATAAATGTTTTTCTATTTGTTTAAAAATAGTATACACAGTTTCTCTTTACAAGAAAGGTATGATTTTTCATTTAAGATTGTGTATCATATTTAATTATATCTATTATTTATGTATATTACAATTATGTGTTATGCAAAAGAGCATGTTATATATAATAATTTGCTCTTACCTATTTGACAATTCATTTTCACAAAAAAAGTACATTTCAAAACAACAAAAAGGTAAAAAAATCATGAAAGATATGATACAATAAATAGCAAATACTAGATCAAGATCATATAGAACTATTAAGATCATATAGAACTATTAACTTTATTAAGATGAAAAACAACTAATTTGAAAATTAGTGTTTCCAACTATACAATAGTGGAACGTTTCGACTTTATTTACAAGAGAACCGTCGAAACTTACCCTCACCGAGTTATATTTAAGGGAGTACACCCTGAGAAGCTGAAAAAGTAGGTGAACTTTGAAGTGATTTTTCTCAGGCAATTATTGATAGAATTGAATAATTTCTTTTAGGGGATGCTGGAACCGTTTGTATTACCGATAAAACTATTTCAAATTCGGTAGTAGTAACATTTTTCATACATTTCTTATACTTTATACATCGTTATGTCTCGCTCAAACGCATTTATTATTCTTATTCGATATTTTTTGCTGCTTAATATAAAAATATTGAATAAAAAATTAAGAATGAAATATTGATTAGATATTTTTTTATTATTCATATTCACTTTCCATTTTTATGAATACTTATAGAGCGGAATCCAGACGCTCAATGTTCGAGATAGTCTTAAGCTAGTGCATGAACCAATCAGAGAACCATATTAGCATCTTAAGACATTGCTTAAGATAACGGACTATGATTTTCGGCTTTAGAGAGTTTTGAGTGCATTCGGTAGGTGTAGTCGGTAGGTCGATACTACGTTGAACCTGACTGAACGCTCAATGAGTTCTTACATTTATTTGGTTGTACTTTTAGATTCAATAAAATATGCCAATTAGATGCAGAAGCGTTCAGTATAAGTGGTGTCGAGTTTATAAAAAAAATGATCATTAAATACATTTTTCATCAATTATATTTCTTAACTTTTGTTTTTATTTTAGATTTTTGAGTTAATATTTAAGGACTAAAGAATTAGTTATTGATTGATTAATTATTGAGACATAAAAGAAGGAGTTTCATTTATTGCTTATTATATTGATTGGGGGGACTATAAATAAACGGAGCCCCCTTTCCTATATCAAATGATCAAACATCACAGATCTTTACTCATAAGTTTTAAAAAAATTGGGAATTTTTTTTAATCTATTTGCTGTGCAATATATTCGATATAATGTCTATTCATTCGGAATGAATATAGATAATTTTAAAATATCTGAAGATATTCATAGTCAATATTTTTGCTCGATATGTCTGCTAGACACAATTGTTACTTTGTTTACCATTCTGAATCGTCGCTCGGCGTTCGTATACACGTCATTCGCAGATTGATATCTTTTTTTTGAAGCTTTAATCTTTATAAACTCAGTATTGTTTGTACATGTCATGCGCTGAGTAGTGCATTACCGTGTAATCCCTACGAGCTATAAAACTTTTGTATGGAAACATCTATGCTAGGTGATAGTTTTACGAATTGAAAAAATGTAAGTTTTTAATTTTTTTTGCGATTTAAATATAAAATCTATTGCAGCATTTTCAAATTTTGCGTCTACTTTAATCCTGTAAAAGAATTTTGATTCCACGCTTCAGTAAATTCGGCGATTTATATCGATCTGCGAAATCCTGATAATTTGGCTATTCCAGCATCCCCTTAAGCAACTTTATAATGTATTCATTTAAAAATTACAATATCGAGTTGAAGGAGTTTCATTTGTTCACAAATCTTCATTATCGCTCACTAATTGGTATGAAACTCGCCATAAGAATATAGTTATCCGATTTCGGATTTTGCTCAGGGTCATGACCTTGATAACATATGTATGTCAAGATCAAGGTGATTGGAGATCTTTTTTCAGAATATTTATTTGTTATAATGATAATAATTCTATTTTTATTATATTAGTAACAGTTTTTATTATTATTATCATCAACATTTTATTATTATCACTTTGTCATTATTATTATTTTACAGGTGAACGATTTGGCCTATTACAATTCAAAATGGGACTCATTACTTTTTTACGAAATTATAAATTCGATGTTTGTGAAAAAACTCCAAGAAAATTAAAATATATTTCCGCAGTACTTATTCAACAACCCGATGACATATATCTTAAAATAACAAAAATCGAATAATACCTAATATATAATAATCTTTATATCTTGTAATAGCATTAATTACTTCTAAGAAATCCTATTCTGTAGACAAATTGATATAATAAAAAGTTGAAATAAAATTGTAATTACGTGATGAACTATTAAAAATTGTTATTATTTTCGGCTTTATAAAACATTGTTTTCCTAAAATTTTTCAAAAACTTTTTAAAGCGTGACATTGTTTGATAAAATACCAATATGCTTAAAAAAATCTGTTTTTTAACAAAAATCTAAAAATAAAAGATTAACAAAAGGTTAGGCTGATGAGAACATAGCGCGGTGTTTGGCGCACAGACATCCAAAGAGATAAATTTATAAGAACGTTACATTTGACTTACTGTTGTAAATTTTGTTTCAGCCACATTTGAAGCCATCTTCAGCAAAATATTGTACATATTTAACCTAAAGAGTTTTGTGAATTATGAGAAACCATCACTTTCATCCCTTCATATCTCCGGAACCGTGCCTATGCTCATCTTAAAATTTCTCTAGGATTAATATTACATCACATTTTTATGCCATTTGGTATAAAAAAAAGTTTGAAATTCGAGATCCAAAAAATGGACAAAAAATCTGTCATGCGACTTTAAAATTGAATATCGGATTGACTGAAGCAACAAGTTTGTGACTTGCGATGTCACCAATGTAGAATGGCCTTCATATTGGCCTAAAGATGGCTGTGGTCAAAGTCTCGCTACAAATGCTTTAAAGCATTTGATGGACTAATTAGAAGAAAGAATTTTATAAACTAATCAATTAAAAAACACTTCAAAGCATTTGTAGCATCGCGTTGACCCGATATGTCGTAATTAGGCTATGTTCGGAAACATCATCCGAGTGACCCCGTGTATCATATTAAGCTTGTGGCACACGATGCTTGTTTTCCTGTTGGATTAGAATCTTGCCACCATATTAGCTGCGATGCTAGTATTGACAGCTATCATCCAGCTAACAATCCAGTAAGAAAACAAGCATCGTGTGCCGCAGGCTTTATTCTTATTTAACATTGAATAATAAGGATAAAACGATATACAGGGACACTCGGGTGATGTTTCCGAACGCAGCCCTAGTAAGATTATGACCAATCAGAATACAATTTTGATAACAGCAGTATCGATTGTTTGCCATGATGGTTAGCATAAAGGTTACGTTCGGAGAGAGTGGGAGAGATAATGCTATTAGCGTTATTTCTATCATTCTAGCTTCATCTTTTGCTATTATACATATTATAAAATCAAATTTATAAATTTATTATATGCCTTAATTTAAAATTAACGACACATAATGATTGCGTTCAGCGGACTCAACAGTTGAATGAGCGCTCGCTGTTATTGATTATCTTTTAAATCCAATCAGCATTTTAGATCTGGAAGAATACATCAATAGCAACGAGCGCTCAACTGTTAGTCCACTGAACGCAGCCAATGGCACAGACACATGGTAGCTCCCTGATTGGCTCTGATCTCTTACGTTTTACAATCGTAGCCGTGAAAGATAAAGTTGAGCCATTTTTCAACCGCAAGTTTTTATAGTGGCAGTTCGTAACGTTTACCCAATTGTAGATTGAGCTTTAATGTTCTAATACGTAAACCGTCCGAAATGTCAGATGCCGATTTTTCTTAAAATTTTCAAGTTTTGTTTTCAATCATTATTCATTGCATATTCAGTATCCGACAAATCATTCTCATCTATCAATCATTATCTATTGCATCCCTACAGTCAATATTACGAAGCAAAATTTTACTATATAGAAATTTTATTGTACAATAAATAAAAAGAACAAAGCAAATATTACTATAAAAGAATGTTACAAGTGGTAAGACTTTTCTCATCGATAATTCCTAAAAAATAGAGACATACCAGAGCAGCACCTTGTTCGGCCCATTTTTTGTTTTTTTCCCTAAAAAAAAGGGAATACAATATAATAAAAAAAATAGAGAAAAATTATTTTTCATTTATTATAATTTACCAGAAAGAGGAGCCATATTTTCTGCCATCAACAGTAACAACGGAACAAAAGAGTTTACTCTCCTGCCGAGTATTATATACTGGCATTTTCTTACGATTTTCCTTAGTCCATTTAAGTAATCTAGTCTTTGGCAGTTCCGAATCTGTTATATAACTGTTTCTCAAAAAAGCACAGCGCATTAGAGAAACATCTTCTTCTTCATGAATTTTTCTTTTATGAGAAATACTATTGTTATCTTTATCGAGAATTCCCGGCATTACTTGAAAACGACCTAATAAACCTTTAGCCTGAAATTCTTCACTTTTGGATCGGCAATAATCATCTAATCTCCACACTTGACTGAAAAAGTTCATTAAATAAAAATAAAAAAAACAGCAAATAAGAAATAAAAAAAAACAATCACCATATTTGTTCCAATGTTTGTGCATTGAGAAATCTTCTGCCTAGAGGAGATTCCTGAAGTTCCCGTAGAATATTCTGTATGCAATATTTTGTATTAGAAGGTGAATTGTCGCAATTAATTGCATGCTTTAAATACGACTTTATAACATTTTCCATTGGAAGAAAACCTTCTTTACGAAATACTGAGCAATTCCACTCAGCGGCGCGAGCAAGCATTACGCTACTACAACCTGTTTCTTTTTTAAATCTGTGGAAATATGTTTTAACAAATTAAACGAAATCTTCTGATAGACATGCGCCAAAACGTTACCTAAATATATCGGAATGTTTTTGAATATCTTTAGATCCACCATTGGCAATAACTGGTATCGAAAGTCTAGCAGAGATTTGTTTGAGAACATGGTTACGATTAGGATGTTGTGGTCTTTCCTCAATAGTACGACCATGGACAGCAATAGCTGCGATACCAGTGGAGGCAAGAGTATCGCAAAGTAGAAGAGTTTCCTCGAGATCAGGCAAAATGCGTATTTTGCAAGTAATTGGTATAGTTACTGTCTCAATCAGTTTCCGTAAAATATCGATCGCTTTCTGTGGTTCGCGAAGAAGAGATGCACCCATTCCTCCGAGTATCGAAAATTTCTTTGGACAACCCATATTAATGTCTATGCCTGCAACATCATTTTCCACCATACGAGCGACTTGAGCCGCTCTTGCTGGATCAGATGTACCAATTTGAAGAACAACATGTTCTCGTTCCCGAGAACAAGTACGAAACACCACAGTACCATCTGTCTTATCGATATAATCAACAGTGCCTAAGACATCTGCAAATAATGATATTAAATAAATCTCTAATAATAAGACAACAAGATTACATTCAGTTATGTCGCTAATTAGATCATGATAATAATCTTAGCAAGAGGACAAACATATTACAAGTTAGATTTTAAAAAAATACAATGATTTTTAGAGAAACAAGATCACTTAATTTTAGGGTAATTATACAGTTTATCACTGAGCACCTAAAAAATCAATAAAACTAGGCTTATTCGATGAGTAAAATGAAAGAATCTGGCAGAAATAAGCGTCATTCTATTCCATGAACCGAGATATTAAAGTCTATTCTACAATATGCTCTTTGTTTCTTGTTTCTTGTTTCTTGCTTTTTGCCTCTTGCTTTTCCCCCTTTGCAATCGACAATTGTATTTCTTACTAGATGTTTCCTATTTCTTCCGAAGTTCGTTAACTTTTATATCGGGCGACATAAAACAAAAAACCGGAAGAAACAAAGGCTAATTCTACAATGTGTTTTTTGTTTTCTGTTTCTTGCTGTTTGTCTCTTGTCTTATTGACCAAAAAGACAAGAGACAGCAAGAAACAGGAAATAAAGAGTACATTGTAGAATTAGCTTAAGCGTTAAAATTTTTTTATTAAGGAGTGTGGGAAAGAGAAATGGTGCCTTCAACCTTAACCTATGGACTGTACGGGCGCAAAACTAAAAGCGTTAAAGTTGACGACTATTGAGGTTAGGAAATCTGTCACAGAGGCGAAACGAGATCTACCTATATGTGTGTACTATTGTATGTACACACGAAGACAGGATGCCTACCTATCTGAAGTTGTATGCGTATCAGAGAAGACATAAGAAGGAATGAGAAAGACGTAAGAAGGCATGAATAGGCATTCCTATCCCCGTATATACATACGTGTACATACATATATACAATATAGATTTCAGGTTTCGAAACTTTTGAAGTTGCCACGCGAAGCGACTTCCATCAATTTTATCCCACCTCCCTCTCCCCGTTTAAGGAGCGCACGATTTTTATAATTATAGTACTACACCCACGTGCAACAGTACAATTATAGAAGCCATGTGCCCTTAAGCGGGGGGGGGGGGGATGAGATGGAAATCGCTTCACATGGAAATTGAAAAATCGAAATCCATTATCCATGTACTTGCATCACAATATTTCGCGGCAGACAGATTTCCTAACCTCAATAGTCGTCAATGTTAACGCTTAATATCTTAATTCACAGGGCAGAGCGACGCTTTTTTGTCAGATTCTTTCGTTTCATGTAAAAACACATCGAATAAATCTAATTTTATTGATTTTGTAGGTGCTCAATGGTAAAAACTGTATAATTACCCAACATTATTTGTTGCTGTTTAATATTAAATTTGATAAATATAAGGATGAAATAATTTCAAGAATGCTGTGAACGCAGCTGTAATAATGTATATAAATCTTATGCAATTGATCACTCGAGTTACAAACAAAAAAAGAATTGTTTATTTTACCATTCTCTCGACGAATCGAACGAAGTAGTTTTCTGTCAATTAATTCCTCAGTGTATACTATATCCGCGCCATAGTCTAAGGCGAGCAAACGCATGGGAAGTGTTCCGATACGCACCATAGGCGCTAGGATGAGTTTGTTGTTGTAATCGAGTCTCTTTCTCGTAATCGATTTTTCTTCCATGTTGACATATGGATAAGTTGTGATCTTTTAAGTGGCACTGAATCGAATCACTCGCGTACTTGATTATTTACCACACTCTTATCATACCCCTCACCAATACTATGGTGGATTTCATTTCCATGGACACCATTTCCACTAATTCCATCTTGGAGCTACCCGCTCTCTAAGCTTCTAAGCTCTCTTCTACCAATTCTACCATTTCTACCACCAGTAGCCAGTACTGCCAGTACCATCCGAAGCTGTGCGAAGCTGGCCGACCGCCGAAGCGCCGCTCATGATATAAATATTTACGCTTGCCGCCGTATCCCCTCCACATACCATAAAATGCCGTAAACGGGCTAGAAGGTGGAAATCTGGAAATGGCATCACTGCGCTGATCACTACTCCACATTGCTCGTATTTCGTAAGTAGTAAATCGTAAGTGAGATTGACACTGGCAATTTGGATGGAAAATTCGACCGATTCGACTATTCTCGATTGGACGATCATAAATTATTTGGAAAGGCAACGTTCGCGACGAGACAACGGTGATCATGGTGAGCGCGAGCAGTGTCGTGGCGCATCTCGTGAAATTGCTGGTGACTGCAATGTGTATGAGACATCTCGCTGAGCCCTACCGGGTGAAAGCCTTGCCGATCACGTGGTCCTTGCGTGCCTTTCGAATCCTCTTCATGCACTCGATTTTGGGAATCTTCAGATTTGGTAAGATGAATGCCTTTATGCCTTCAAATCTTGTTGCATTTGCTCCTTTTCCAAAGATATCTCTTTTCTATTATATATTACAATTAGTCAACATGAAACCAATTAATTAAAATCTTTCCTTTAATTTTACTTTGTTTTCTTATTTTGTTTATTTGATTATCCTGAGTACCTCTTAATAAATCTGGAATGTTATCGTAACCAGGGTTGAGCATGTATTAAACATAACGTACTATATATGATTTTTATATGTAATATCATATGTTTTAAAAGTATTATACAGGATGTCCCATAAATTTTGGCTTTTGTGTAGATAGAGAGTACTAAATCGAAAAGTTCTCTATCATTTTGCAATTTTCGCAATAGTTAACAAGATATTAAATACTAAAAACTGCCAAATATTGGTTTGAATAATTTTTTATTCAAATACTATCAACTTTATAGAAAAATTGCAAGAGACAAAAATCCTGTATATATGTTTTATATGTATTATACATATTATACATAGCAAATCTGACAATCTGATGAACGATGTGATTCTACTTATTGACGCAATGTATATGACTTTGGTTTTATTATACTTTATGTAAGTTTTTATATTATTATTGTATAAGTTAATATTTTTCATAATCATTTGGCTATTCATTACATAGCTAATTTGGATAAAGAAGAACGAGCTAAATTATCGGGAATCAACATCTTGGAATTTGCGTTACTTATGTAATTTTGATTTATATTTTATTGATAAGAACCCGAATTGAAGGGTTCAAACGTTCATTTATTTTATTCGTTTTGTTACATTCACGCGAAAATAAAGAGTTTTCTGTACATTCGAACAGTCGATGTAGGCTCTGATGAGCTTTTTTATATTTTTCACTGATAGATTCTTTCGAATAGATTTCTTTCTCATTTTTTATATATTTGTTCACATTATATATACATATTGTACATATGTATTATACGTAAGAAACTACTAGCAGCTTTAAATTGCCCAACCCTGACTGTAACTCATCAAATAATATTGTTACGTTGCTATTTTTCCGGTCCTAAATTTTCGAAGTATCTTTTTTTTTAACATACCTATGCTTTTTCTCGACAATCTGCTTTTTTTTAATCGCTATCCTCTTCGCTTAAGATACAATCACTTATAGGTATGGGCCACCTAAGATTCCATGTCATAACTTGAAGGGGGGGGAGGGGTCACAATGAAGAGTGATTAATACAAAATGACACATAGTCGCATACAGTATTTAATTTTTGCGTCTGAATCAGGAATAGGAGAGGACGATATTTGCTGCATTTATCAACGTTAAGGATTCATGGTAATTCATGCAAATTATTTGCTATCATTGGAACACGTGAGGAACTAACATATTTAATTCTAAACTGGGTTTGCCTTAAATTCATCTTAAAGATTTTTACATTTCACTTAGATACCCCAATAAAAAAATAGTGATATTCTTATAATTATTTTTATATCATGTTACTTTAATTTTTTTCGAGATAAATAACTTCAGGTGGAATATCAGTCTCTATACATATTATAATTACAAGATTTTATACACATCAGTAACTTGAAAATTGATATCCTTGTGTACATTTAAAAGAATATTTTAGCACATAATACAATTACGATGATATTAGATTTTTGTCTACTCAATGTTTTGATAAGCACTATCTACTTGTAATTGCATATGTAATATTATTTCTTACATGTTCCAACAACTAATACAATTTATATGCTCATGTGAAATCGAATTATATTTATATACATTATCTTTACACAATTATAACATTGAATCTTATATTATTTTGAAATCTCTCTCTCTCTCTCTCTCTCCCTCCCCCCCACCTCCTTCTCTCCCCTCTCTCTACCCCTCCCTCCCTTCTCGCTCTCTCCTCTCTCCCCTTTTCTCCTTTCTTCCCTTTCTCTCCCTCCCTCCCTCTCCCCTCTCTTTCTCTCTGTTTAACTTAAATATGCATGTAATATATTTATCTTATGTAATTCTTTATTTATTATTTTAATGTTTCAGGAGTACCATTCACTTCATCATCGACACCTACAGCAAGATGTTTTCGAAGTTTTTACGATTGGTTTTCCAGTGTCATTGAAATTGTTCCTTTGGCATTGCTGACATCTGGTATATTAAGCGCATATCAAATTGATGAAAAAATTCGTACGTTGTTATTGTTTCTTGGTACAATACCAGTATTTTTTCCACTAGCGATAAAACAGAAGGAAAGTCAAATCAGGAAACTACGTTTCTTGACGAATATTACTGTCGTGTTGCAGATTTTGGCGATAATGATACTTGGCTTAAAAAATGGCAATTACAATGTCATTAGTTTAGTCGCTTCCTATACTTTTGAACGTTTCTTTGTGGAAGAATTTTGTTATCGATACAGTATACCATATACCGATCTGATGCAGTATTGCATATGCTTTGTGGAAGTTTTTACGGTATCAACGCTGAAGGAATTATAAAAAAATATGAGACTTTAATTTACCTGTTTGTCTGTCATCAATTTCAGGCAACTATTATTCAAAATTTAAGGCTCTTGATTAGTTGTTGCGGCCATATTGTCTTAAACGTGAAATGGAAATATACAGCTTATTTTCACTTTATATGTTTTTTATGATTATTTACTGACTGTCAAAGAGAGGATAACTTTGGTCCATTTTTACAAATACTTTAAAGTTATTACATTATTTGTTTTATCTAAATTTTTTTTACAAATGGTATGTAAAAATTTGACATGTCATTTATGACATCACATTTCAATATGACCGCGGCACCGGAATCAGAAGGCTTAACAAATTATATTTAATTATATTTGATACAAAGAATGTCAATTTTTAAGATAATATAAAAAAATCTACGCTTTTTGTTATAATATTAATCTTCCAACAATTGTTCGATAATAGCTGACACTGTAATATACATATAACATTGAGTTTTGTATCTTTAAATTAACAATGTTTAAGGAAGAGTGGTGTAAATTGGACCATGTATATATATATATATATATTCCAAATAGGACTTTTTTAATTTAAATGAAATACGATTAACTAGATTTGCATATTTTTTATAATATAAAGTTCTTATAAGACACCGAAAATGTGACAGCAGTTTGATAGTTCTCTGTTATAGAATAGATTTTGCAAATATGTTTTCATCGTGTGAAAATTTTTTTGAAAAAGAAAATCTGTATAATTATTTAAAAAGTATTAAAAATTTGAAAGGTAATTGATTTAAAATAAATTAAAGAGTACAATTCAAAAATATCAAGTGTTTTGTGATCACTTTTGCGATTTATTATAAAATTTGTAACAAAGTTTGAAAGGACCTGTGTCCAAATTGGACAGTACACTAGATAACTTATAGACCTGGTTGTAGTACTAGTAATCGGCCGACCAGATCTAGTCTAAGGAATTAAATTAATAAATAAAATTAAATATATAACGCTCACTTGTAACTAAATGTGACACTATAAATGTGACACTAAGGTATACGAACAATAGCTAGATTACAGTTACTAAAACATAATATTTCAAATAACATTAAATAAAATAAAAACATATTTTGACCAGAACATTCTTAAATTTTTAAATCAGTAAAAATTTTAAATCAGTATAAATTTTTTTATGTCATCAGACTCAAATTAATTGAGTTTTATTGATTTCAATTCTAATAAAAAAATATAAACTGTCAGTATTTTTTTTTCTGAATAAAATTGTTATCTTTGATTGTCAAATTGCTCGTTTTTATTCAGTACTAAAAACACACACATTAAAATATTTTAAAATTCTATTTAAAAGTCCATAAAAATAGGAGTGCCCGATTTAGAATCATTGGAAAAAGCGTTTTTACATTTTCCATTATAATTCAATACAGGTGAGAGATCAAAAAATTGTCTCAAACAAAAATGGGAGGAATTAAATGATCTTTCCAACATTCGATTTTATGATCGTACTTTATTTACGCCTTATAGAAAGCAAAAACTGCAAATAGGTCTAATTTACTCCACTCTCTCCTATACTAAATTTTCATATATATTTTACATGTGTCAGGAAGTACTGCCAATTTTCAAAACAAGATAATTATTATATTCTTTAATACTCTTTTGTAGAGGGACCTTAAATAATCTAGCTGAATAACTCGAAAATATCTAGACAGCAACGTGTCTATCTTATTGTTGGCATGTTGCTTGCTAAGTATGAATTACTAAGTATAGGTTTGTTTTCTGTGGCTGAACTAGTATATACTTTTGGAACTTAAAATGAGATAGATATATGTTTGATATTTGTTTAAAGCGAGAAAGAGAGTTCTAGAATAGTCTAGCGCAGGAACAGAAAACAGACTATATTGCTACCAATTGCAGTAAATTCTCATTTGTTGGCAACTTGATGCCTTCACGATATGATAACATTAAGTAGCAACTTGCCAGCAATTTGCCGACACTTTAAAATCGTCATCAACAAAATTCGTACTGTTGCCATCATGTAGCCATAATAATATACAGCATTATACAATGCTGTCATATTGTCGACAACGCGAGATAGTATTAACGCAGCTATCTTGCTGTTAAACTGCTGGCAATACATATACACATTATTGTCTGTATGTTGCTACAATATCAATATATTCGAAATCGTGACGTATATTGAAGATAAATCTATGGCAAATTGTTAGCATCATAAGAAATCACAGTGCGATTTTGTTGAGACACGCTTTGCTATCTAAGGAGCCCTGCAGGCTTATTTAGACAGAAGTTGTATGTGGAACGATAAAAATCACTTTTTAAAATTTATTTTCCAAAATGTATTGCGAAGTGAAAAATTATGCAATTTGCGATATGCAATTATATGTCTTGTTAAAAAACAATTATGTTTTTTGTTTATATTAATTCATATTAAAAAATGTAACTTCAAAAAAATTGATTTTTTTTTTGGATAATTGATTTGCAATTATTTGTCTCTCTCCGGACTATACAACTTTTGTCTGAAACATTTTTACCTGTCAGGGTAAGTCTTCGACTGGACTCTTTAAAATGGGACACTTTGTATATGTACAAAAAATAAGTAGAAATTATTCAAGATTATTTCAAGGACGAAAATATTTGGCGAGCTGTTTACAGAACTAGAAAATGTATATAAATTCACAGACATATTAAAAAGCGAATGTATATCAGTTGTACACTATTGGATATCAGCTAATCACGATGCTAGAAAAAAAATTCCTTAGAAAGTCGCTGTGATTAGCAGTGGGCAATTGCAACAATATGCAAGTGTACCACCCTTAAAAGTTAGTAGCGAATTTGTTTGGGCGCACTAGTGCACATTACATAATTTACACAAGTTGACGTAAAGTAAAAATGTATTTAATACAAAAATAGAACGGAGAAACGGAGTAAATAGCAACATTCTCAATACATTTTATTTACTTTTTTTGTGTTATTAGATAAAATATGTATTTTAAAATATTTACATTTTACTTTTATACTCAGGTTAAATTAGCGTACGATTTAGTATGCACCAGTGCGCACTAATGCATCCAATCGAATTCGCTGTAACATTCAGCTCTGATTGAATAGGCTTATTTTTAGTTACAAGGGATCTATTCGGTTCAATTTTTCTTGAAATATAGTATGTTGTTAAATACAAAGATGTAAGAGATATGTATTTTTTTTTATAACGATCTAAGCTTAGATTCGAAAAGTAAAACAAAAATTCCTTAAAGCTAAAATGTATATTTGATTCCTATCAGTTATTAGCGAAACGATGAGATTTGCAAAAAAATATTTTAGACAAAACTTTTATGATTTTTGAAATATTTATAACATTTATTTAGATTTTTCAAAAATATAATATTTTAAAAATACTCATCCCATTAATTTTGAGAAATTGTTTCATCTCTTAAATCCGAGATTGAGCCGATATAAAAAAATACATACCTCTTAGATTTTTGTATTTTAACAACATATTTTAAGCAGAATCGAATTTCTGTAGGCCTATTCTGTAATTTTTTGACGACAATTCGATATCGTTATATTGTCGTCACAGCTTTTTCAATATGTAAAATATCTGTGCAACGACATCCAGCTAGTAAAACTATCATTAAAAAGTTATAGAATAGGTCTACTGGACAGGAGCAAGAGTCAAAGCTAACGTTTATATTTTATATTATGCTTATCAGTAAAACAATGAAATATTTCGATTTGAATTGGTTCCAAACAATTATGACAGATCCCTTGTTAATAATATATAATATACAAAAATTATGTCTTTTTATTACTTTTTTATTTATTTCGAAATAATAACGTAATTTTTTAGTAACATTTTGATACATTTTGTACGATATATAATCAAGTTTAGTAAAAAGATATTAAATTTTCCGACACAATTAATGTAGCACAAAATAATTCAGGGTGTGTATATGAATTTACTCAATATTTTTTAATTAATGAATATATTAAAAAAAGACGTACTATGAATTGTGCATGGATCCAATTTATATAGTCTTTTTTACTTATATAAAATTTATGTATATGGCAAGATGATATATTTAATCGCCGGCCTATTTAAATAGTATATATCTAATAGTTAGACATATAAATAACTATAAGTATGATCTTTTTATAAGTAACAACGACTGATATCGATTTCTGATTTTAATAATCAGTATACGAAAAATAAGCAAATATTATTTTGGTTTATCATTAAAGTAGACATTTTTTGTCTAACTAGAGAGAGATATTCATCTAAGAAAATCATCTATTCTACAGTAACAATACCATTAAAGTACAATTTTCGACGATTGCTCCAGTTGTAAGACTTATGTATCGCAATTTATCTGTATATCAAGATATTTTATCTGTCATATTTTGAGATATGTAATCTATGATTATTTTTTTCTGCAAGATTTTGCTACAAATTTATTTATAGAAATGTATAACATCTTTTGAAATATACAATTTTTCTTACAAACTTTATTATATTTATTCAATATAATGTATCATGATTCTAAAAAATTTTCCTGTGTTCGAATTCCCTCTCGGGTGTCATCCTTGTTTAATGTTTGGTAAATAACAAGGATGGAGTGATATCTGAGTAGCATTCGGATAGAAATTTGAACATAGCCACTAAGAATTCTTTATTGGTGCCACAAATTATTCACATGCTAAACAAATTGTCGGGCAACTGTCTTTAATCTAATTGATGTATCTTGTAAAATATTGCTGCAAAAAATTGATGATTTTTCATGAGACTTATTTGTAAAATAGAGTAGAATATAGCCGAGATGATTTTAAAAGCGGTTTTTAGATATAAAATGAAGTTTTTAGATATAATTTTACTTAACGATTTAGATATAATTTTCCTGTACCATTTGGGCTATATTTTCTTATCAAACGATCTTTGAGATTAAAGTGCACCTTTCTTTTCTAACATTTAAGATATTTGTATAAGATCCTGTTGATCCATTTTGTGTAAGTTCTATTTGGTAATAAATTTGTTCCAGACTTTAATACCTCTGGAAAAAATATATAAAAATCCACAAAACAATTATTTTTTTATTTAGTATTAGGTGTTGGAATTAATTCGTAGCGTTTTTTAATGAAAGAATGTTATTTATTTCACATGAGCATTAAAAAATACATTAATGAAAGTACTTCCCATCACTTGTAAAACGCTACGAATTAATTCCAATACCTAATACAATTCGTGAAATTTTTAGGGGAAAGAAAACTTATCTGAAAATGCTATAATGGATAACTATTCAGTTTTCCGCACTTCCAAAATCAATCAAATTAGGCTTATTCAACGCGTTTTTGCATGAAACGAAAGAATATGGTAAAAAAAAGTGCGTCGCTCTGCCCTGTGTGATCCGAGATATTAAACGTTAAAGTTGATGACTATCGAGGTTAGGAAATCTGTCATTGCGAAATACTGCGATGAAAGGATGCATTGCATTTTCACATAGGTTTCCAAGTTTGCACGCAAAGCGAGATTTGATAAAAAAATTGATATATATAACGTTAGCCTCTTGGAGATGCTAAATAATAGGCTTGTTCTTTTTGGCTGAACTTTTGCACCAGTTCATCTTCCTTTCTCTTCTTTTCTATTGGAGAGAAAAGGAAGAAAGATGAACTAATGCAAAAGTTCAGCCAAAAAGAACAGCTTTGTGTTTTCTCGCATTCTCTCGCCAAGATCCGTGTATCCTATCGCCATGTCTTTTTCACGAAGATATAGGATAAAAATAGATAATCACGAAAGTAATTTAGAAACTTAAACAATATTTAAATATAAAGTAATAAATTATACCATATAGATATATAATAAAGTTACGATATTTTGATGCTGTATTTTATTAAAACATTAAAATATAGTTAATGCTTCTTACACTGCAACTCATCGTACTCTGCATGCTACTGAAAAAATTTCTTTCATATCTACTGTATTTACTTATTTAAAATTTTCGAAAATTCAAGTTATTTCGTCTTTATGTCAAATGTGATTGTAAGCTTCAAAGTCGCATTAGTCGTATCGTTAATCGTGCATGGATTGTGGGCATTAATGCAGAAAGGTAGTCACTTGTAAATTTGTGAAAATTTCCGAGAAACAGAATCGATTATACGTATATAGGCATATATATATGTATATACGTATGTACGTAGTCTATTATCGCGACGTTAACAAGAGTGTCGTAACCTCACATACGATTCTTTCTCTACATCAGTCAACATAATTTGGTGTCTAAAACTCCGGATATTTCATTATGTCGTTGGACGAAGTAAGGACGATGAGCAAACTTTATTTTCATAAAATTATTTAATAATTTGAATAATTACTCGTGAAAATGGAACATGTCATACCATCCACCTTTCCCTCTTTAGAGAGTTAATTTAGAACAATTTTGGCAGTTAGTTACTTTGATTGGTGAGATAAATATTTTAATTATTTTTTTAACTCATCGGTAACACACAAAACATACTGTGGTGTGTGTATGAATGTGTTTGTGTGTGTGTATGTGTGGTGTGTGTGTGTGTGTGTGTGTGCATGCGCGCGCGCGTGATCGATCATGGAATAATACGAAAAAAAATCAAAAATGGGCTCGAAACATAGCTTAGGAAAACACATGGAAAATAGGGATGATTTGAGACATTTGAGTGCCATTGCAGCAAAAGTTGGAAGTATATACTATATGATAACGATTACAAAATACACATGTATGCACATTTTATTTTTAATAGAGATATTCCAATTTACATAAAATTTTATTTTATTCGATTAAAAAGTAAATGCATCAATATCATTATTTATTGAAAAATACATACATGCATACATAGTTATATAAATTATCATTAAATTATCGTTTTTTTAACTTGTTCGCTTCCTTCTCAGAATACACTTTATGCATAAAATGCACAAATTTATTAAATTGCAGGAAAATGGGACGAAAACGTGAGGACCCGTATATTCTAAATAATTATTCACTGCTTTAAAAACAAATTCAATGCAAGCACACAAAGAATTTATGTGCTTAAAGCAATAAATTTGTGATTGTAAAGCAGAGAATTGATGTAATTAAAGCAGAACGTATACATAACTATATCGAGTCGGGCTGTATCGATGACAGATATCTCAACCTCTAAAGTCTAGAACTTTAACGCTTAATAACTCGATTAACTCGAATAACTTAATAACACGAGACCAATCGCCGCGATTTTTGGCAAATTCTTTAGTTTTTGAGTGAAAACGGATAGAAGCACATTTTTATTAAGATTCTAGGGGGGGTGAGGGGAGGAACATATATATTCTAAATAATTATCTTTTCGGCTCTAAAACACAAATTTTCTACTGTAAAAAACATATTATATAAAAAATATGTTTTTAAAGAAGAAAATTTGTATTTTTAAAGCAGAGAATTTATATTTAAAACAAAGAATTTGTGTAATTCTTGAGCCATCAATATGATAGATTTTCTAACCTGAATATCTGTCAACTTCAACAATTAATATTCGGTTCGCGAGACGTTTTTCTTCGAGATTCGTTCATTTCGTGTAAAAACGCATCAAACGAACCTAATTTTATCGGAAGTGAGAAAGTTAAACTCAACAATTACCATAAAAGTATAATATATGAATATTACAATTAAATATTCTGAATATTCAGTAATGATGTTTATAAATATATATGTATTTATGTGCAAATTATGAAGTTTATAAATAAATGAATTAAAATCAATTATTACATGTCTTTTATACCCTATACTTTTATGCAAAAACATTTTCAGGGAATGTATTTTGCACACTAATCTCAGAAAGGTCTTTAAATTAATTCTAAGCGAAAGCAAACTGTTTGTTTTCACTTTAGAATTAATTCCAAGTGCTTTTCTAGAAATTCTAGTGTGTACAAAGGGCATTAAATTAAGTTAGAATAATGTATAGCAACGGAACAAACATATTCTAGTTTTATAACGCACCAAATTATAAAACTGTTATATGACTGTTATATAATTATTATATAATATTTTAAGTTACATGTATTTGTATTTATATTAAGTTACATTATATTTATATTATATATAGCTGCAATGATTCGTGAGTGGAAAAGCTAACGTGGATGTTATATACACACGTTATATTATCTGTTATATTCCGTTATATGGAAACAATATAATATTTATATATTATGTTTGCTAAGGTAACATTTTCGGTAAAAAAACCAACCGATTTACAGAAATTAATTCAAGTGATAGTCTTTTTTTAATTATAATGATATTTTCCACGTAGAATAATTTCAGTAGGCGTAGAATAATTTCAATTAACAATGACAATAATTGGTCTTTCGTTTTATTTCTTACAATTATAGGATCCAAATTTTCGCATATTAGATTCGAATTATTCAAACATAATTCGGACATCCAAATTTGAGTAATAATTCAATGAAAAAAATTCGAATATATATTATACATTCTACATACGCTGCAATATTGCTTCTAACGTAAATTTCATTGAAATAAATACATTTGCTGCAATGAGAAACGGAAAGAAAATCAATAGGCGCTCGAAAAAGGATAAAGTGACTTAAAAATCAAAAAAGAACATGGAATGCTAATAGTTTAATCGATTCACTGAAATATTTAATTTAATTGTTAATGGAATATTGATAATCCTAATTATGATACAGATAAAAAACAAAAATTTACTAAAATATTTTACTTAGAATTTATATCAAATTATATCATTGGTATATGTTACTCTGTATTGATAAATTAAATCATCTAAATTGCTTATGATTTCTATTAAATTTAATAACAATTTGTCAAATAACGCGAAAAATAATTATAAAATAATCGTAAAAACACGTTTCTATTCTTAGAGATTTAATGATGCGGCTACAGTGGTAAAGAAATTGGCTGCGCAACCAGAAGATCAAGATTTACTCGAATTGTATGCATTGTACAAGCAATCTACCATTGGCGACTGTAATACAGGTACATTCTCATTTTTGTGTGCAGTCCATTATTTGTTGCGTACACTTATGTCACAATTGTCATGATTCATGTAAACCTTTTTTAGAGAGACCGGGTATGTTGGATTTCAAAGGAAAAGCTAAATGGGATGCTTGGAACGGTAAAAAAAGTATGGGACAAGAAACGGCGAAAGAGCAATACATCACTAAAGTGGAAGCATTAATCGCTTCGATCGGAAAGAAGTAATGGATTCTCATTATCAAGGGTATACGTACACATGAATATTCGAACACTTGTGATTTCATTCGATCAATTATAAAACTTGTTCACTATTGATGAGAAACATTCAGAATTTTACAAGCACATATGCAAATGATGTATAGATACAGTAAATATCGATTTTATTTAATTCCGCTGATTTATATGAATTTTGTATTCAATGATTTATTGCAATTAGCATAAAACTATTTGTCGCATATGTCTGTTGTAATTGATTTCCTTTTATCAAATAGTAATTTGATCTCTGCCGTTTACAATAATCCCATACTGAAATTTCATAATTTGCTTTATATTCAAGATAATTAGTGTATATTAATAATGTATTTCTATAACATTTTTTTTCTTATTATATACACATGTGTAAATAGCTATAATCGAAGGAAATACGATCAAAAACGATTTTTCTAACAGTTTCTCAACGGTGCACATTTAGCGCGTATTTAGCTAAAACTTAAATCAGTAAATAACGCTAGAGCCAACGACAATAAAAATACACAGCAATAAAAATAAATTATGCTATAAATCGATACGAGATACATTTATAGATATTTTTATTATTTTGAGAAATGGTAAATATTTACAAATTAGCATCTTAAAAAAATAACCTTAACATATGTTGTCAAGATCATAGCCCTGAGTGATTTCCAACAGATTTTAGCCATTGCTTGTTCGTTAAAAAGATTATTAATACAAAATTAATGAAAGTAATTTAATCCAAATCAATTTGCTATTGGGTGGCTTTCTCTTTGCGTTGTAAAATGTACGCGTGGAGGCAGTGTATGCCACCACGTATACATTTTATAATACGAAACAAGGGTTATCCTACGGAGAACAGCACTGCCTCCAAAAAATATAACCTAACTCCAATCCTTATTTTAATACAGGATGGCTCTCACTTTGTGTTGTAAAGTGTACGCAAATTTAAAAAATTAATGGTAATTCTTTTAACATTCATTTTTGTGGTCATACTTTTTAACGAACAAGCAACGACTAAAATTTGTTGAAGGTTACTCAGGATTATGATCTTGAAAATATATGATTTTTGAAGGTGCTGACTTTTCATAAATATTTACCTGAGAAATTATAAGATTTTGCATCAGTTTTGTAACCTAGCGATAATCGAAATTTAAGTTAGCGAATGGCATCGGTTACATCATACAACTAGGTAGAGACAAGAAGATGTTACTTGTAAATTAGTCTCAATTTGCGGCGCAAGAGATATACTATCGCGAATAACTAATTAAATTCAAATAGCTTTTTTTAATGAACTTTATTATATGAACCGCGTGGATATGTCAAGCCAGTCGTGTAATTATAATCATTACAGGTTACTTTTTCTCTTAATTCTTACACAGATTAACATTTTTTGTTCATCAATTTATGAATTTTTATTAAGTAATAATGAATGGAGAATAGTAGCATAGTATCGAAAACTAAAATTTATCCGGAATTAAATCTTAAGTCGAGTATATCAGAAGCGCACACTCGTCGACTTGAATACATGAGGAACTTGAGACAAGAGCGAAGAAATTTATTTCCTTTTATTTCTATCGTGCTTCTTATTCATGTGCGGATGATGACGCGTCTTTACTCTGCTAGCTTTTACATAGTCGCCATAGGTCGTATTCGAGTTGTGGCTATCCATCGTGTTATCGTTGACGTTTTCGCAGACTTGATGACTCGTTGATGCATCGTCGAACCTAACATACAAACAAACGAGATGACAGAAAACTAAATCTCGTGTAAAAAGTAATTCGCTCTTGTTTTTATGTAAATTCCAATTATTAACGCTCCGATCACTCGGGCTTAGAGAGCCTATCTCACTATCATTGATTGTCAATTTCGGCGAATAACGCGCGTTAAGAAGCATGTCGACTGATGTTACATTTTCAATGGAAATGACTCTGCGAGGGGAGCAACTGTGTCGAGAGATACCAACGCGGATACTAGATACTTGTTTACAGATGTTTAAATCGTGATGACAGGAATTTCTCAATTGCCAAGGAGAGATCGTGCGAGTGAGATGTGTTTTAACTGTACGTTATTGATTGTGGTACGCCGTTCACTGTCTTTGATTTCAGAATATCATTTTCATAAGACATTATGGTTTCTTTTCCATTTTCGAAGACTCTGTAAAAGACATGAGAAACAGAAGATATAATTAGAAGAAATATAATGTTGAATCTTACATAATAGAATATACAGTAAGAATGGTGTGTGCGTGTGTGTGTGTTGCATGTGTGATATATGTGAGATTCTTTTTACTTTTTGGTCGTAATTTTTTTTCCATCGATGAAACGAGTTGAGGTGCTAGTACGTTTTACAGCAGAGCCACCGCTCGTTCCGTCAAAACTAGTGAAAGTACCAAAAGAAGTAAAGTTTCCTGCAGCACCAGCGTTCTCCATTAAATCATTAAACGGCAAACGAAAGCCAAATCCAAAAGGCCCGAAGAAAGAAGTACTCAGACTATTACTGGTTGAGTGGTCGTGTCTTCCTCCGACGCCTCTCCGAGAACCTCCACCATGAAAACCTGCAAAATTTGGTGTTTGCAATGTTTGCCTTTTGACAACTTATTATGTATTTTCTGTCTAAATGTATTTGTATCTTACCGGCAAACAAATCTTCAAAAGGTATTCCATCGAAAAATTCTCTAAATACTTCTTCAGGATCCCTAAAGACAAACGCGCCACCAAAGTGCGAATCAAAATCATCTCCGTGACGTCGTTTGCCTCCGGGCATTTGAAGGCCATCCTTGCCATATTGGTCGTAAACACGCCTCTTTTTCTCTAAAAAAAGTGAGACATTTATTATTTGAATTGATTGTAACCTCCATCATAATTTTGATCCTTTCAACCAAAACCCAACAAGCGAGACTTCTACAAGGTTTGCCAAAGATTAGTCCAATATTAGTCCAATATCGACATGTAAGTTGGAATATAATGCGAAGAATGTTGGAGAAAATTTATCATAACTCTCTATAACTTTCTATATTGTACACATTTATCATAACTTTTTATGCTGTACAACTCCTATACTGTACATTAGACTCAAATGGCTCTGAAAAATATATATGGAATTCATGCGCATATGTGGAGCAGGACAGACACCAATGCACATTACATATATACATACGTTGAACTGTATACTGTTACATGTTACATTGGCCAGTAGCAGTGTGCATCTATGAAGTTGTCACCTCATTTTCAAAATTTCTGATACGTTTTGAAAAGCGTTCTGATTAAATAAAAAAAAAAAAAAAATAAAGATTTGAAGATATAGTATGTCAACTTCATAGATGCACATGTTTTCGCGATACGAAAATTAATCATAACTTTTCTATTTCAAGAAAGAGCAATTTAAATTTAATACTTTTTGGTAGATCTCTTGTAGAGAGTGCATTATTCTGAACATTCAAGAAAATATTAACAAAATTTTTTGCCTCTAAAAACTTAGAAAATTCGGTTTGGAAAATTAAAAATATGTCGCAAAATGCCTCGTACGATATGACGTACATACAACTTGGGTTAATAAAATCTTTTGAAAAAATTTGTACCTAACTATTAAAAATATGTAAAATATATGCATATACCCCTAAAATTTATCGGAATTACAGCTTTTTTTTAATTCCTAAATTTGTCTCATTACAGAGCGCTTTAAATCAGAATTATTTCCTTAAAGAATTTGCAAAACTAAATTTAAATTAAAAATTGAATTTATAGAGATATTTATGTAACAATTGGTCAAAAAATTACGTATAATTTTTCTTAAGCTATAATGTTATCGATATGTACGAATACGCAAATATATGTAATATTATCATTACATGTATACTGTTATCACAAACTTACCTTTTTAAAAAAAGTAAAAAAAGGCGTTAAGAATATACATGTTTTTTGAATAAAACCTAAATGTCTAACTTAAATAATAATAATTTTAATTCTTCTTCAAGGATATTCTTATTGGTCTTTTTATTCCAATTCAAGTAATAGCAATTTTAATTCTATGTCAAAAATTATTACTCCTCGAAAAAAAAACTAATATATCAAATGAAAAATTAAAACCTAAATAGTATTATCTTTGTTATTTACTTAATTCTAATGATGTGCATCATTTGTATAAAAGATTTGGTATTAACAATTGACGTCAAGTTAAGGGGGGAATTCCGTTTTCTGAATAAAAAAAATTGTTTTTTTTTCTTACGGAATATTATAGTATGAAATGTTAAAAATATGTATAACAAATTTCAAAACGAAATTCATAAAATTAGAAGTTGTAAAGACCAATTCGGCGCGCAGGTATACATATAACTTATAAGTAAACCAACTCAAGTGTTACACTCCGATTTTGATGAGTTTTTAGTATGTTGTTTTCCAGACAAAAATAAGTGATACGTATTTCTTTATATGTAACAAGATGCACTTTTAAGGAGTGAAACACCCCTTTGAAAAAAATCGGTTTTTCTTTTTCGAAACGAATATCTTTGAAATTATAAAAGGTAGAAACAAATTTCTAGAATGAAAATTAAATGGTTTCAAGAGTACTTTTTAACAATGTGCGTATGGGTACATATAAAAAAAGTACGTGTTCTTATTTTTATCTGGAGAATAACATACTAAAAACTCAAAATCGGAGTGTAACACTTAGATAGGTTTACTTGTTAGCGCACTGAAACTAAACGTTTTTCTCGAAACAGCTTTTTCGCTGTCACTGGTGTGTACAATATCTATGAAACTAATAGACCGATCATCTTCCGCTTTAAACTGCATGTTGAGGAAACATCCCTTTATTGTATGATGAAAAAGAAAAACAATCCGTTATATACTTTTTTTTATTGCAAAAAAATTCAGCCAATTTTTAAAGAGAAATCGATGATTTTTATTTGACAAACCGCCATTTTCTCAATTATCAATTTTTTTATTGCTTATTCATCAAATGATGAATAACTATATGTATATAAAATTAAACGCTATCAGATTTTTATATTTTAGACGACCGAGACGGAAAATATCTTGCACACCAGTGACAGATATTTCGTGCCATGTCTGAGGAGAGATAACTGGCATAATATTGGCTCAAATTTAATAAAAAAAAAACTAATTACATTTAAATATAGTCAAACAATGTTCCAAAATTCAAATGTATTGTAACTTTATACTTTGGTCAAAAAAAAAATTCCCCAAAAAATCAATTTTTTTCGCT